CCATTTTCACTAGATGTTTTTATTTGCACTTAAAAATTTTATTTACAAACACGAACATTTGTTTTTGTTTTTTAATTTTAATTTTAGTTTTTTTACCACTGATTTCTTGTCACTACGATTTAAAAAGTATTGTCTAAAATGTTCAAAATACATCGTAGTTATAAACTTAAGTATTTCCTTTCGTTATACACCTAACGAAATATGACGATCAAGATGAATAGCTATTGTTGTGCACTGACTAGCGACTGACTAGCCTTGTATTGATGAGGAAACATAAAAGCGTCTTCACATATTATATGAGAGGACTAGTCAGTGCAGAACAACAGTTATTCGAATAGGTCGCCATATTTCGATTCAGTGTATTAAAGAAATAATGGTTCGACCCACCTCCATTGGAGGTATTGTGCCTATTACCCTTCTGACAATATTCTCGGTATTGATGCTACATGGGGTAAGATGTTGAATAACCCGAAAAAATTTCATCGTTTGAGTGCGGCTTCTTGAAGTTATGAAGGTTTTTCTATGCCATATGCTAATGCTGTGACACCGGCTTCTATGTCAAAACTAACTCGCAGTTATTTTTATAAAAGCAATGAAGAAAACAATAACGTATTTCAAATTTATCTGTGCCAGTAATGTTTTGTTTATTAAATGATTACTCCTCATACGTCATAGTCATTAGCATATGGCATGGAAAAACCTTTATAACTTCAAGAAGCCGCATTAAAACAATGAAATGGTTGTTGGTGTCATGCAACTGCATGTCCAATGTAGAATCGATTATGTGAATATTGTCAGAAGGGTGATAGGCACTTTAAGTTACAGAATGTTTTTTTCGCTGTCCACTAAAGTTGAATATTTCAAATCTCTTCGTTTTTATCTTATTATCATAATTTGATCTCAAAATATCCTAAATACAACTGGAATCAATTTTCGCCTTATAAATATTCTGCTAAATAAAGTATGTATATGTCTCGTATGTAGTATATCCCGCACGTAAAATGTCCCGTATCTAGTATGTCCCACACGCAAAATGTCCCATATCTAGTATGTTCCCCACGTAAAATGTCCCATATCTAGTATGTCTCGCACGTAAAATCTCCCATATCTAGTATGTCCCGCACGTAAAATCTCCCACATCTAGTATGTCCCGGAAGTAAAACTATTATTTCCCGTATGTAAATGTCCTGTATGAATCACATATAAAACAACATCACGCTGTGGAACTAAACTTTGTCTAAATTAGCAAAGAATAAAAGGAATGACAAGGAATGAAATAGAAATAGCACGTGAATGGTATTCTCTACTTTCACATCCCCATAATGCCTTGCGTCTTTGGGGGGTAACCAATCAAAAAACTGTCCCAAATTGAAAGKTTTCTTAATTGAATTTATACTATACCTGCTTTTATTTGTACAATACTGATTTTTAGTTTATTTCAAGTTGTTTTTGCGATCAGATCAGATACAGATCATGAAGAGTTTTGGTCTTACAGAAAATGTATTGACTTACGAAAAAATGTTTAAAATTTACCTTAACGTCTTCAAGCTTCTATCTTTTTCTGTTTTTTACTTCTTCATTTTATTTTTGGATACCAAACAAGGTATTGTCAACATTGTCTGATCAGCCTTCAGCAAAATAAGTGGGTTTTTACTCTCTGGTTACCCCCCAAAGACGCAAAGTATTATGGGGATGTGAAAGTAGAGAATGAAGAGAATAATGCACCCATTTGTTACACTATGTTTTCTCTATTCATAATGGGTTTCCTGTGGATTGCTTTTTCTTTTCTATTCTCCTTCGCCTAATTTTCCACAGCATAACCACATATACCATCTTAAAGAAGACGTTACAGGGTTGCCTGCATTGTAAAGCATGGTCCCATTTATTCATATTTCACCCGAGTAAATTATGTTTTAAATAAATTATTTAGAATAAAATAAAAGACTTTTTTTCAAGAACTGAAAAATCGAAATGCTACTCTCTTTTTACTAAGAAATGTTTTCTGTATATCTATTAATTTCAAAGTACTTTTACGCATAAAACTCTATAAAACCATAATAAAATATCGATCAGTCAATTAGTTCCCAGGCTATTTCTGTAATGGAGCACTTCGACGATACGGCGGCCATTTTGAATCGCAAGGCATTATGGGTCACTCAGGGGGCAAGACAAAACAATGATGCTGAAATAACGACCCCACGATATTTGAGAAATTTCCTCAGTTATGAAACTGTCTATTTATTTCAAACATCCATTGTCGCCACCGCAACGTCGAATTAGTCCATTATAGACAGGATCAAAATGAAATAGTTGAGTACTAGTTCCTAGGTCCTCTTCCCCGATCCCGATCCATATTGGACGGGAATCGGAGTAAAATACTGAGGACTAGTCTCCAGTCTCCTAACTTGATTCAAAGCATGTTGGAGCTTGTTACCTGGGACCTTGTCTAAGTATACAAAGTTATACGTATCTCTCAGATTGCTGCCTTGACCGGAAGTCATCTTCCTTCTTCGACGTTACCCCATCGTTCCCATAATTCTTAATGAAGTTATTAACATTAGCATATGGTCTGGTGTTGATGTATGGCTGTGGGGTGTCGAAAACTTCAGAATGCCTTTCACAAACGTCCTTTTCGTCGTCGTAGTTCTTCATAAGTTGTTCCTTTTCGCTGATAAACTCGTCTTCATCTGATATGTTGCCACTCGAATCGCTTTTTTTATGATTCTCCTTCTCTATAGAGTCAGCACGTACTTTATCCATTTCCCCTGATTCAGCTCCGTTATTTCTCACTTTTCCTTTAGAGAGATCGCCGAATGCGAATCTTTTCGTGTTGACGTAGTCTTTGCCTTTATCCTCAGTGATGAGATGTTGTAGTTCAATCTCCTCGACAGGAACGGGTGGTAAGGGGGAACCCTGGGGGCTGTCAAAGACCGACGATGTTGGATGCATGTCTTCTGGTTCAAGATAGTATTGCTGAGTCTCGTTCGGATCTTGCTCGTTTTCTAGCTCAAGGTATTCTTCACCAGTCTGTATTGCACACGAAAAGTTAGTTACGTTAGCTGAATATGATAAATAACAGGGCCAAAACACATCGACGTAGGAGCCATGGGAAAAGAGAAACGGTTCAATGCATCTCCACACTTTCAGTATCATTACTAACCAATAACCAATATAGGAGGGACGTAAAACAACAACTGAGGAGTAAAGAAACCCTGGTAGTGCACACCCTCAGTGCCTACACTTCATGCTAACCACCTCTTATTCATAACTCATTCGTAAAGCGCATTTGAACATATCCATATCGAAAAGAGCGCTATATAAATCATGAATCATTATTAGTACCTGTGTTGTCTTTTCTGCCAGTAGATTATCGATTGCTTGCACAATGGCTGAGAATGGTGGTCTTCTACTAGGGTCATGTTCCCAGCAGGCTAACATTAAGGCGTAACTAAAAACAAACAAAAAACGTCAATATATTGGAACAAGAGAAAATGAACTAAGAGATGGAATCCCGCACCCAACCTTGAGATTCTTTGATGCTATTTTTAGAATAATTTATGCTATTTTTAGAATCATTTGCTTTTAATGCTTTGCCAGTTATCGTAAATAAATATGGCGGCTATGACGTAACATGCACCCCAAGATTAGCTGGGCTACTGAAAGTATCGAACACGTGATTAAGGGACTATACAAGGGTTCCTTGATACTTACATTTCATCTGGGCAGTCATGTGGTCGTTCCATTCGCTGTCCTTCCATTAGATACTGATAAACTTCATTGGCAGGTAATCCAGGGTATGGACTACCGCCTAGAGTAAAGATCTCCCATAACAACACACCAAACGACCATCTAATAAGATGCATATAAAACATGACATATCAGTGGTTTGAAAATGTCTCTATAGCGACAATGATCACATCAATCATTTGTTTGTAAGCAATTTCTATGTCGTCATTTCTTTGTAAATGTTCTAATGTTTTGAAAACATCTAATACTTAAAAGCTTACTTTAACCCTTAGTTTGACATTAGTTTTTGTTGATCTTTCGACCTAAGCGGTCAGCTTTCAAAATAGAGGCAGGAAGGGTGTCGTTTAGAGGACAGTGAAGGATGGATAGATTTTCTCCCTAGATTATATAACTTACACGTCACTCTGATGGGTGTAGATTCTATCGACCAGGGCCTCTATTGCCATCCACTTCACCGGTAACAAACCCTGGAAATTAATTGTAGAATATTGTTAGTTAACTTTTTCACAGATATATGGTAAACACTCTATCTAACTACAAACACAAACAACACTTACAGCAGTGGTCTTCACATAGTGTTCATCCTTATAAATATCCCTCGCAAGTCCAAAGTCTGCCACCTTCATGACGTAATTCTCACCAACCAATACATTCCTCGCTGCCAAATCACGGTGCACGCATCGTCGGCTCGCCAAGAACTCCATGGCTCTAGCCACTTGGAATGCTGTTATTACTAGATCAGTGGTTGTGAACCGTTCGTCTGCTTTCTCTGTGGCAGGAGCCCATTCCGCTTGGAATAAATCACGTCTTTTCCGTAAAAACTCGAGCAAGTTGCCGTGGGGGCAGAACTCGATGATGACCAAGAGATCGCACTCGCGTCCTGAAGAGAAAACATTCGCAATTCATGAACTTACTGTTCTTATTATTTAATGAGTGAAACTGAGTTCTGTACAAGAAGATTTTGAATGAGAATTTAATGGCTTACCCTTTGTGCAGGCACCAAGAAGATTGACGATATTCTTGTGTTCGCCGATGTGCATCAGGATCTTCAACTCAGACACCAAATCTCTGTACTCAGACTCTGTTGCGTCCTCTGTATCAAGAAAGAACAGTGGTAGCCATCAGTTAATCATCCATCCATTCATTCGTTCATCCGTTTATTCGTCCGTTCGTTCAATCGTTTATTTGTCCATTCGTTCGTTCATTCATTCATTCATTCATTCGTTCGTTCGTTCGTTCGTTCGTTCGTTCGTTCGTTCGTTCGTT